ATTTATATTAAGGAATTGATCATTATTTCTGTTTTTATATGAGGTTCTTGTAGAGTATTTATGTTATATTATTGGGCCTCACAGTAGAAATCTATTATATGAACTGTCATAAATAAAAATCAAGTAGATTGATATTTTTTTAAAAAAACCAATACCTTAATTTTCATTACTCATATTTTAATGAAGTGCACTGATAGAGGTTTTACTTTATTTGACTTTATAATAAAAAAAGATTTGTTTACAGTTTTTAATAATAATAAACAGATTATACAACCTAGTATTAGACAATATTATATATAATAAATATGATAAAATTTGTAAAAATTAAAGATAAAATATTTATTTATTTTGTATATTTTTCTTCTTTATAATTTTAATAATAATCTCATAAGTAGATACCTAATATTCAAATTTTAAATAACAATATTTCTATTAGTATATGACTTAGTAAAGAGTAAAATGATGTGCAGATGCAAAATCTGACAATTGATTGATTAGCATGATTATAGTTATCACATATTGTATATTTTTTACCCACTATCATCACAAAAATTTTAAAAAAGATATATATTATTAGTAATTCCTAGATTACTATTGATATATAACACCCCTGTTGGGTTTTATTATTAGTGATTTATAATGATATATAACAATATTTTATTAAATTTTCTTAAAATTTGAATTTAATTTTCTTGATAATTAGTAATTCAAATTGACTCAAATTTTTATTATAAATAATATATATGTTTAACTATAATATACTAAAGTTTCAACTAATTAAATTAATAGTTCTTAAGAAATTACTTGTAAATGATAGGTATTTTTTTTAAAAAAATTAACTATCATTTACAAATGATTTCTCAAAAACTATTAATTTAAATTAGTTGAAACTTTAGTATATTATAGTTGAATATATTTATTATTAACAATAAAAATTTATACCAATTTGAATCACTAGTTATTGAGAAAATTATATTCTAAGTTTAAGAAAATTTAACAGAATTTTGTTTATATTTTTACTAATTGATAGTGATTATAATCATTTATAATCATTATATATCATTAGTGATATATATTAATATATAGCAATTTAATCGATATATAATGATTATTTTTAATCAATATATATCAATTAAATGCTATATATCGATATAAATCTGCTTAAAAATTTTGCTGATGATTAAAATTATAACCCATCTTCAGTAATGCCACGAATCTGCATTGCTTAAACAAACATCTACTGTTAAAATTTCTGCTAAGTCACGAATATATACTAAAAAATCTGTAATCTGCCCGTTGTTAAAATCTTTAACTTGTCATTATTCTAATCGTAAACATTCATTAACTCATTAAAATTACTAATTTACTTTTACTAAAATTGACTCATTAATATTAAAAGCTCTAACTGTTTAAATAATAAACTCACTTGCTGTTCAAATCACTCACCCCCTTTTAATTCCATCAACACCTACTGTTAAAATCATCTATCCATCGTTAAAATTGTTAATCACCCATCGTTGCAAATTACTAACTTACCCATTCACTTTTGAAATTATAAAACACACCCATCATTGAATTCACAAAATATAGAAAATAGACAAATAAACCTTAACAGTATCAAAATATTAGTATAGATATTAGTATAGATTATTCGTTATTCGTAAAAAATACTCATTAACTAAGCTATGTACATACATGTTAAAGTTTTTGTACCCAACACTAATAATTTATTATCACCCATGAAATTGATCTATACTATAATTATAATATATTTATAAAAGCAATGACCAAAATTTCCTTTTTTATTATTCTCTTTATATATATTGTAATTAAACATATTTATTAATCCCAAACTAAGCCTCTGTTCGTGGTTTGCATGCAACTACGTCATGCAGCTACCTAATTTATTAACTTCATTTAAAACCCTGTATATCAATTACCTACAATGTACATTAAAATTATAAAGTGTTTTTATACTTATTATAAAGCAAGATAATTTCAATAAATTAAACATAATAATTATATTGGAAACAAAAAGTCTATGTCTATTTTATATTAAAATAATTAGATATAAAAAGAATATTTATTATAATATAATGGTTATTTTTTTAATCCGGATGGTTTCTCATTCTTTTTATAAGAACGTGCATCAAGTCTGTAAAAAAAAACAAAAAAACATTATTATACAAACAAATTTCTAAATTTGAAATTCTAAATGAGTCTTACATTTTCATTTTATTAATAATATCACAACCTGATGTATACGTACAAATTATTTCTTTATGAATTTTCCTTTTTTATTGATTTGTACTTTGCAGATTTGTTCCAAATATGAAGGGTTGGGGTTGGTTCGATAAATCATAACAAATTTATGCATTTAAGGTTTTTGTTTAAAAAAAATATTAGAATGTTCTTAAATACATGTGTGACAATAATAGGTCTTTTCGAAAAGCTTAAACATTACAATGCCAGTTATACTGATTACCTGCCGGATTGTAGTGGGAATTGCTTGTCCCTTGATGGGCAGATAGCTTAAGAAAGTAATGATAGCAATCCTGGCTATGATCATCCCAGTAGCACATATATGTCTATATATATATGTATATCGATTTTTGAATAGTGTTATAGAATTCCATGCAACATATTGGTTTGGAATCCACAAAAATCCAATTTCAATATACAGCATATTACTTCTTAATTTTCACTAATTAAAAAGTACATACCAGTAATTATTAATAACCATAATAGTTTTCTATTACTATAAAATATAACATAATGTAGATTGGGTATAAGGTCCTGGTTTCAGTTCTCGTGAGGTTTACAAGGGTCCTAAACATTTTACTTAGTATATCCAAATCTCATTTCTTAGTGCGTTTTTTGAGATATAGTACTCTGGTTATTAATAACCGCTGGCACAAGTTAAAAATGTCATATTATACTTTATACTATTAATAAATTAAGTATTTGCTGATATGTGAAATATATAAAAAGTGTATTCCAATAAAAAAATATATTCCGTATTTTATTTTTAAAGTATATGTACTTTGTTGGCAATTGCGATTAAATATCTGGAAAAAATAATAAACTTAGATTGAAATAATTCTGGAATTACAAAATTTTGACTTCTTGCTTGAGTCTTTTGAGTGAATATTGAAATCTCATATTAGTCAAAGAAAAAATATTCACAATGAGTGCGAATATGTGTTACATGGTTAATGCTAAAATTGTTTATTTTTTCATTTTTTATTTTCGACTTTTTAAATTCCTATATAGTTTATATCGATTGTGAAATAACTGTACATTATTGGGCAGATGACAAAAAATTCTCGTTATTTGTTGTACATATGTTCAATAACAATATTATCCGATAGTTAATATGATGACCATGTGAAGTTTTTTGGATATTTTGAAAAAAATATCATGCCAAAAAAAATTCACATGATCATATGAAATTTCGGATAACATGTCATATTTTAATTTGTAAATGGCACTTTTTAATTTTGAAGCAGTATAATCGTAAATTGGCGCTCAACATATACACTATATTGCAATATATTATTACAATTTGAGCTTTCTTGAATTTTCAAACGCTTAATTGCAGAGATTTAATTATGGTGCGAGCACTCTAAAGATATTTACAATCACTACTCCTCAACGAATAAGTGCAAATTTGTAAAATTTGATAAACAGGTATTATCGAACGCCAATGAGTTCGGAAATTAATTACAATGATATTGTGTTTTTTTAAAAAATAGAACGAAATAGTGAAAACAATACAAGTAACAAAAATTGCATAATGGCTAAAGACTGTAATATTAACATAAATAGAAAAATCAAACAAACTACGATAATGCAGGAACAAATTTACCCCTTGACATTAGTTACCTCTTTTAGAAAATAGCAAAAAAATTAGATCCTACGATTATATTAATAATATTTGTGCCAAAGATAATTCCATAATACAAAAATTATAGGTTACAAAAATTTGCTGTTAACAATGTATGATAACTTTTTTGTGAAAATAATGAAACTAATACAACAAAAAAAAAAAAATTACATACGAACAAGTTAATATATTTTTCTAGTTTCTTTATTCTAAAAGGAATTTGAATAAATATATTTGAGATAACAACCTAAAATTTTCTTAATAGTTTAACTGTATTAACCATTTTACCCGGCAGGTACTATGTAAACACCGACGGAAAAATTTCACATTATTTCCGCAAATTTCTATCAAAATCATGTGACAAATTCTTATTAATTTTAATACAAAATCTGTGGATAATATAAAATTCTTTCCGTAAGTGTATACGTCATACCTACCTGATAAACTAGTTATCTGGTGTTATATACCGATCATGGGCATCGACAGTATAATTGCAACGCATGAGGCCTTCGGTCACGTGCTTTTGCTATTATCCGTCTAATCATGTCAGATAACAAGAAATCATTCATCCGATTAAAATATTTCTAGCCATGATACTATGATGTTTCCAGGTACTATAAACCAATTTTCATGCATTTAAACTGTTATAATTCTTATGTGGGATGATATTAAAAAACTGTTTAGTTTTCATGAGATCTATAAAGTGATATTACTTTAATTAATATATGTATTGAAACATTATTAAATTGGAGAATTTTTTTATAAGAAAGTGCAAGAGTGCGTCTTTAAACTTTTTAATTTACGATCATAGGTACGTACGTACATAATTATTTATTACATTTTCTTTACAGTAAAAGTACAGGTATATATGTTAAAAACTAACACTAATCGAAGCCTGATTAAAGCGTTAAAGATATTAATACTATCATTCAGTTTATAATCTTTGTGTTACAAAATTTAACTGGTCGCAAGTAATGTTATACTTATTGTGAACTAATTTAGATCAAGAACAGTTATTATTAATTTCTTATTTAAACATATTATATGAACTTATCAATAGCTACGTATAATAATTTCTAACTAACATTGCACGAAAAAAGTTGATTATCACACTTTATATCGACGTTGCAGGTGGTGGTACAATGGGTACAGTTTCTAGAGCTGGAGTTGACGGGGCAGCAGGTGGTGCTGGAGCTGTAGCTGACGGTGCAGTAGGTGGTGCTGGAACTGGAGCTGACGGGGCAGAAAGTGTTGCTGGAGCTGGAGCTGACGGGGCAGTAGGTGGTGCTGGAGCTGGAGCTGACGTGGGCGCAGGTGGAGCTGACGTGGCAGCAGGTGGTGCTGGTGTTAGAGCTGACGTGGCAGCAGCTGGTGTTGGTACTGGTGTGGCAGCTGGTGTTTCAGTGGCAGCTGGTGCTTCTGTGGCAGCTGGTGCTTCTGTGACAGCTGGTACTGCAGCGGTGGCTGGTGCTGCCGGTGGATTATCGGCAGGTGGATTATTGGCAGGTTGATTATTTGCCGGTTGATTATCTGCAGGTTGATTATTTGTTGGTTGATTATTTGCCGGTTGATTATTTGCTGGTTGATTATTCGCTGGTTGATTATTTGCTGGTTGATTATTATTTGTAGGAGGAGGAGGACTAACAACATTTCCTTCGTTGTTAATATTAAGTGGAGAAGACATTGTAATCGAATTCTGACGCTTTCTTGATGTCTCACAACCTTCAATCACAATATACAACCCAGATAATGGACCTATATCCTTAACTCTTTTTGGTGGTTTTTTATGATCATGCTCGTCCTCAGATTCACCACGCTTTTCATGGTCATCACGTAGGTAAGGAGGGATGGAATCTTTATAAATATCTTTACCCTCACATGTTTGGAATTTAAATCCTTTACCATCACAATGCCAAGTCAAGTCATCAAGTTTAACCACCCAGGGCATGACGCCATCAGGACCAATAACATCACTACAGCTGGGCTTATTAGGTTTATCGTGCCTTCTATAACCACCTCTTTTTCTAGAAGATGAAACCGATTTACTATCGTTATTATGTTTACTATCTTTACTATATTTACCGTCCTTACTATCTTCGCTATATTTACTGTCTTTACTATCTTTACTATCATCACTACCACATGTATTACCATGAGAATAATCTATTTGGAGTGCATCCGAAAAATTGAAAACCATATCTCCGCAGCCATTTCGTAAGGTCCAATCATAAGTCCAACCGTGTTTAAAAAATCCAGACTGGTAGGCCCCTTGGACCCACGTTGATCCATCAACGCCCTGGTAGATTGAAAGTTGCCCTACGGCATTTTGATCAAAGGAGGCTCCTAATAAGGCACTAGGGCAAATTTTACTACTATGATCGTTTCTTTTGAAATTGTCTGGGTAAATAAATGCCTCCGAAACGGATAACATTAATAGAATTAAGGTGATCAGAAGGTTAAACATTTTCACGTGCATTGTTAATTAATTAGAAAATTAACAATTAGAATGAACATTAAATATTTAACAGAATATTACTGATAAGGAACTATATATCAAGAATAACTGTTAATGAACCAAAAAGTTCTGAAAAGAGACTGTCTTTATATACATATTTTTAGATATAATTTTTTTTAATTTTTTTTTTTTTTTTTAACAAAGTTACTGAGAATTTTCTAATGGAAAAACAACATTGTCTAATAGTATACATCTAACAAAAGTAAAGCATCACAATATAACCAAAGTTATCAATGTAATCAAAGTTTTCATTGAAGTTACGTTTTCAATGAAGGTACTAATTATAAAATCATTTGGACAATAATTAAATTTAAAAATAAAGTTAAAAATCTCTAAATGCTTTGTGCGTTTAGTAAGGTATTGAGTTTAAGGGGCTTTTCACAGTGCATGCATTTAGGGGGCGGATTTGACTGTATACAAGAATACGAAAATCTCGGTTATGTAAAATACATATTCGGAAACGTTGTTCATTATTTCTAAGGCTGATATTTCAATTCATATTTTTTTTTTCTTTTACGAAATAAACAACCTTTTGATGATACATATTAGGCCGATTAAAGTTTTAATTTCGTTTTAATTTCGCTTAATTATCCCTTCTTGACTTATGCAAAAGGGGTTAATCAAAATAAACATGATGCTAAGCCTCAAAAATAAATCGTCATAATAGGAATCTACTTATTTTATCGTATCTAATGTCGATATTTACAAACAATTTTAGGCGAAAAAATGGCTAAAAAAAGTTAATTTAACGTTTCACGGATTTGAAAGCGTTTTGTAACTATTCTTCCTATGCTCTTGGTTTTGCACTGGCACTTTGCACTGGTAATTGTTCAGTAAGAGAAAAATTTTGATTAGTAAAAAACAGTAAATATGTCAAGAAAAATAAATGTTCATGTATAGTTTTAGATGATGGATTTTTAGCCTTTTCAATTTTTTGAAATTCTCGGGTTGGGTTCTCTAAATTCGCCTTGTTAATTAATTATTAATTCGTCGAAAGCGATTTTTTGTTCGCATAAGTATATCAAATTGGTCGAAATTATTGATTCATGGAATCAAGGTATACCTAATGATTTCCTTCAAATTTTTTTTTTTCCTCACTCACCATTCGAAGGTCCTAGATACCTCCGGATTTACATCCTTTTAACCAGTATTTGAGGATACCCACAGCTAGTGCTCCGAACGGGTCGGTTCGGGTCGGGTTATCGGCCAATCCGAACCCGACCCGAAATTTCGGTTCGGGTCGGGTTAAAAACTTTCGGGTTAGAGCTTCAACCCGAACCGAACCCGAACCGACCCGACCCGACCCGAACCGAACCCGACCCGAATTTTTAAGGCCAACTTACCAAAATTTTAAATTTTACTAGTATGTAACCCGTCATTTATGCTAACAGGCTGTTGTTAAGTTATAAATAGGATAGATTTTACTATATATATAAGAAAATAAAATATTAAAGCTTACTGTAAAATGGCAGGCTTAGTGATGTGTCACATATAGTACAATATGTGAAAATTTTTTTAATATATTTTAGAACAAATTATAAAACCATTCATATTTCAAAAGGTTTCTTATAAAACTGTTTTTTTGTTTTTAAGTAAAATTATTTTTTGTAAAATTTCACATATAGATAGTTTATATACATATTATACATGTACTATACATATTGTATATAATATATATATTATTTATATTATATATACTGTATATACTATATATACTGTATATTAAAAAAAATTAGATATTATATAAATAGCACATCACTAGGCAGGTTTATATAGTAAAAAATAAATATCATATATATATACTTATTGGACAGATGACAAAAAATAACAGTTAATTTTTTTTGACAGAGTTAATTTTATTCATATACTATATTGCAATATATGAAATGATATTAATTCTAATAAAAAAAAATTAATTGTTATTTGTTATAGATATATTTAATAATGATATTATTAGTTAGTTAATATGTATATTTATATAAAGTTTTTTTAATAATATTTTGCAAAACTGATTATATAATTTCATATAAAAAATATTATAAAAAAAATTATTAATTATATAAAATATTAGATAAATATATATTATACAAGATATTATCTTAAAAGTATTATAATATTATTTATAGTTTTTATATATTTTTAAATATATATCAAATTTGTAATATAGTCAAAATTCATTAAAATTTTTATTATAGTTAGAGATTAGAAAAATATTTAGTAAAATTATTCAAAAAATACTTTTATTAGTATATAAAAAATACTAAATAAGTAATGTTTAACAAAATAAATATTTGTATTATATTATATTTAATCTTAAAATAGGATTTATGGTTTAGTTAATCTGTATTTAAACCTGATACATATTTAAAAATTATATTTTTTATTAATTAAATAGTATTATATATATTAGTAACTTATTATAATAATATATTTTTTTAAATAATTATTGTAATCTAATATTGTAATATATATACTATTGTATTAATATATTATAAGTTTATATAACAGAGTTTTTAGATATTATTTTGAATAATTTTGTTATACAAATATATAAAAGTTATTATATTATATAGAATCTTATTAAATATAAAAATATTAAACATATACTAAACTTTAACAATGTCTATCTACTATATATATTTTAATTTTTTTAATATATAAATATATTTTAAGATATAAAATATTATTCAATATATATTAATTATTATTTTTTTTTTTGGCATTAAGGTGAGGCCTTGCTCATATCTTTATTGGTAGTTTAAAAATTAGTAGCTACGTGGAGCTGCTATGTACAAAAAGTAATTTTCTATATAAATGCT